GAAACCTGGACAGCATCCTCCTCTCTGCCACGGTGGTCAGGGTGTCCAGCTGCTCCCCCACAGCATCACCGGCCCTCTTGATCAGTTTGTTCAGTCTGTTGTTTTCAGCGACCCTCAGCCCACTGCCCCAACATGTGACTGCAAAGAAGAGCGTGCTAGCAACAACTGACTCATAAAACATTCTCAGCATCACCCCACAGATGTTAAAGGACTTCAGCCTCCTCAGGAAGAATAGTCAGCTTTGGGCCTTTTTGTAGACCGCCTCGGTGTTTCTAGTCCAGTCCAACTTATTGTTAAAGTACACTCCCAGGTACTTATACTCCTCCACAGTGTCAACAGGAACCCCCTGGATGGTTTAGGATTGCCTTTGACTGTTCTAGTTAAACAGTTCAAATAAAACATCATTAGTTCAACTTTTTATTTTCTTTAGTCCAGCTTTTAATATTCTTTTTTTGTTTCTGCATTTATTTTATTTTTTCCTACTTGCTTTGATTCTGTTTTATTTTTCTATATTTTAATCATGTAAAGCACTTTGCATTGTCTTTGTACTGAATTGTGCTATACAAATAAATTTGCCTTGCCTTGCCTTACCTAGAGTACCCAAAACTGGCAAACACTCTGGCCTCGAGGTAGTGACAGTCCACTGCTCAAATACTCCTCCAGAAAATGATCCAACGAGCCGCAGGCGTGCAGGAGGGCAAACGAGGACAGGGCACCACCTGGTGGTGGAGGGAGAAAAAACACACAAACAACCACAAAAACAGACCACACAAACTGGATTCCTAATATCAGTATTGCTGGATGGTTTGACAGCTCCACAAAATATTGAAGTGATTGGCACCATCCCTGCCACATCTCCATATCAGGGAGATGTTGCAGTTAAAAAGATATCACGGATATTTTTTTTTGCTCTGGAAAATCTTATAATGCTTTTCCAGCAAAATTCTTAAATCTTGCTTTTCTCGCAGTTCTTAAATCTGTCATCATGTTGATTTGGGATGAAATCTGAGTCGTAAGCACACCGTCTTAAAATTTTAGAGGCCTTTTCTAAACCACATATTCTAATTGCTTCATTCCAGGCAGACATCATTACTTGTGATATTGGTTCATTTGCCACATAAAAGTCTGTTTGAAGTTTTTTGTCGGCTATTGTGGCTTTAATCGGTATTGTCTTGATTGTTTCCCCTTCAACATCTTTCCATCCCGCAGTGTAATCCGGACAGCACAAACATATCAAAGGTCTCAACTGAGCTGCACAAAAATATTCTAGAAAGCCCACAACCTCCTTTTTCTTTTAAATAGTAAAGTTTTGTATTTGACTCTGGCTTTTTTGCCTTTCCAAATATATTTTGATAGCATCTTATCCCATTCTACAAAGGGTACAGGTACTGGTAGGAATTGGAATAAATACAACTGATGGAGGGACGTTTAATCTAACTGACTCAATCCTGGAGTGTAGGTCCAAAAAGGGTATGGTATTCCATCTTTGGATGTCTGATTTTATGGCCATGTTCAGGGGGGCATAATTACCCCCAAACATTTTAGAGGGGTCACAATGTATCACCACCCCAAGATATCTGACACTATCTGCATTCCATTGCTATGTATTGCTATTTTTAATTTCAGACGGTGGATCATAATTTAGCGTTGGGATACAGGGTTAATTTGAGCAGAACACAGGTTCTGTCACACTGCAGGTCTGGTGTCTGTCTCTCTCTCTCTTCTCTGCAGGGTGTGATGGGCAGGTGCAGCTCATCTCTGTTAATTTTGGAGCCTACTTAAGGATCTGGGACCAGGAGGAGGGCGTCAGTTCTTTCTCGCTACCAGCGTGGTATATGACCGACCAGTTTTCTCCTAAATTCGTGTTCAAACCAGATCTAATCCCGTGTCTATGTTTTTTCCCTCCTAGCCACCAACCAAGCCAGTCTGCCGCAGCCCTCCTCCAGGAGTCCACCTGCCTGTCCACCCTCCTACAAGCCATCACCTGAAGGGTAGAGAGTCAGTTGCTCCTGGACCCAGGACACATCCTTCCAAGCTCAAAACAACCTCAAGCCCCGTGAGTTCAGCATCCTCCACCTTCCCTCCACCTCAGATCAGTTGTTCACCATCCCCCAATCTTTTCCCTAGGCTGTACCAGGAAGATCCTACCAGACTCCATTTTCTGTTCTTTGTTTTAATAAACTTTTCCTTAAACTGATCTAACTGTCTCCGTGGTTGCCCTGATTCAGAGTCGTTCTTCTCTCATTATGACAGGTTCTGAGAACAAACCAAATTCTGATAGAATTTTCATTACTTTGGGGAGAAGCTACGTAGGATGAGATATAACCAGAAGCAAGTCATCAGCTAATAGAGCTAATTTTTGCTCCCCTCCTGTAATTATTCCAATTACATCCTGGCTCTGTGTGATCCATTGACTGCATTAACCCTGTTGAGTGTGAATGACTCAGCAAGGTCTCTATTAATTTGTATTTTGGCTGTTAGTTTATTATACAATCCACAAATAGTATTTATTATGGATTTATCAAATCTAAATCTCTCAAGTACCCGATATAAAAAAAGACCACCTCACAGAATCAAATGCCTTTTCAGCATCTAAACTTAACACTAAAGCCTCTATTTATTGTCTATGAACCTGGTTAATTCTATGCAAAATGTTCCTAATGTTGTTATGGGTTTGATGTTTGATGAAGCCTGTTTGATCGTTATGAATTAGTTCTGGTAAAATTGTTTCAAGTCTCTTTGAGATGATGGAAGTGAACAACTTATAATCAATATTTAATACACTGATTGGGCGGGAGTTACTACAGTTTAGCTTATCTTTCCCTTCTTTCTGAGTTACTGAGATTATCGCTTCCCTCCATGAGGGGGGTAGAATTTTTTCCTCCATTACCAAATTAAATGTTTTCTGCAAGGTGGGAGTTAAATGATCCTGCATTATTTTGTACCATTCTGGGCCAAATCCCTCCGCTCCTGCCATATTTCCCCTTTTTAATCTTTTAATTGCTGAGTGAAATTCTTCTTTGGTTATTGTGGATAATCTTATTTTATTTTGTTCCTCTGTCACTGTTGGTAAGTTTAACTAGGATAGGAAATTGTTGACATCTTGATTATTATCTTCATAGATTTGGCAGTAAAGTTCACTGTAATAATTCTGAAAACATTGCTGAATTTAAAGGGTTTCTTATTTTGTGTATAGTCCTCTCTGCTTGCTGTTTTCTGAGTTTATAGGATAGGAGTTTTAGTGATTTTCCCCATGCATCACAGTGCTGTTGCTTGTTAAGAACTATTTCTTTCTGTATATCAACCATGTTCGGGTCATCTAATTCCCTTTTTTACTTTTACAATATCAGATTTAATGTAATTTTTCATAGTCACAGAGTGTTGCACTGCATGAAAAGTGGGATTTTCGTCAATATACGGCACTGTAGATTGTCGTGGAACTTCAGGTTAGCGGCAGTATACGGCAATTTGCAGGCTTCAACGAAAACTCCCGTAAATTGTCAGAAATTGCTGTGGAATTTCTTAGGCAGTGTTCCGCCCATGCCTCCCCCCCATGGANAATGACTCCTTTTATGAGAAAGTTGTGACACACACCAACTACGTCCAACACTGGACTCGACTGTTCGCAGCTCAAATCCTCTGAGCGCTTAACTTTTTTTTCTTTACAGAACAGGATACAAGATAAATAAGGCTTCTGGACCGGACCTTAGCATTATTGCTCTTTCCTCAAGTATTTTTCCTTCATTTTGAAACCAAACATTTCAAATGACACTGGGGTTCTTTAAAAGGACAAATGTCCTGTAATAGATACTCATAAACATGTTATTCCTTATCTTTTTTTAAAGGGTGTGCAATGATTTTGGCTGTAAACCTGTTTTACCAGCTGGACTGACATTAACCTCATAACATCCACCTCATTTTGGATAATCCTATTATTATTTTTTATATTATTATATTATTTGAAAGCTAACACCCTTTAGTTTCCTAATATATAAATTCGAATTGGGTGACTATAACACAGACCCACCTGCATCAGTTCAAACATGACTCAAAGTTATTGTTTTTTATTCTCGGAAATTATAGGTCTTTTTTGAACAGCATTAATAAAGACATTCTTGAGAGAAAGCAGGTTTTATTGTATTATATTTGTTCTATATCATGTCAACCACTGAGAAAATCCTAAAGATCAGAGTATCAGTTTATACATCCAGTTCTGTTAGCTCTACGCCTGCTGAAAACACAGACGTCCATCGCCCATCCAGGCTGACATAATACTAATTGGCCTCAATAAAATAATGGAAAGAAAACACTGATTTTGAGAAAGGATTTTTTTTTTATTACAAATTTCCAATATTTGGGACAATATAGTCTGATAAAGAGTTCATTTATATGCATGTTTAAGCCAGAATAATTTGAAACTTCCCTATGACTTTAAAGCCCTCAAGACTGGGATGGAGGTGAACCCTGCCATTGGAGTGACCCTCAAAACACAGCATTCAATAGTGTGGTAAAAATGTGTAGTTTTTTTACTGGTCTACAATTATCCCAATAAATTCCCAATTAAAAATAGTATATTTTATTGTTTAAAGGACGTAGAATTACTGAATTGAAATAATTGTAAAGCAATTTTTCAGCAGGATAAAGCATATAATTAGGTGTTCAGTTGGGGGGGCAGGGTTTGTTTTCCTTGAAATCACAATCTTCTATTAGATTCCTGCTGTTCTCATTCATATGGTTTGTGTTGAGGTGTATTTTGTCTTACCTTGGTATTCTTGTTGTTCTGAAAGTAGAAAAATAAAATGTTAATAGGATAATGCTTCACCCAAAACAACAACATTAATAAGAACTGAGAGGAGTGCTAAAGCTTCGCTGACAGTCTACATTTTTTTTTTCTAATTTCAATACCTCCTCCATCTTCCTCGCCCTGCTCAGTCTCGTCTTCCTCCTCCTCCTCCTGCTCAGGCTCCTGCTCCTCCTCAACTTCTACATAATTAAAGAAAACAACAGAGTTCAGAGAGTTTTTATGCATGGCCAATGCTAATAGGAAAGAGTGTAGATTGGAACATACCTTCAGTCTGCTCCCTAAAAAGAAGTAGGAAACATTCTGAGTGACTTTACTTCAAAAGTTTACATTTAATGAAGACAGATCATGTTTTTTCACTCACTCATATTCCTCTTCAACGTCAGACATGGCTGGAAGGAAAAAGGGACAAACAACAAGATTTATTCTAGTTTATGCAGAGATTTTCTCCAACTTGTTAACATCTAAAATCCATCTAACTCCTATTTTTTCAAATTTGTTTCTAGTTTTAAGCTTAAAGTCACACATTGGATTTAATTTCCATCACAAGGAGAAGAAATACGGCATAAATGAACAGATTATGCGCTCATACCTAAAGGTAATTTAATCCTCTGAACTGAGCTTTGGTGGAATAAATCAAATGACATTTTGAAAACTTTTTAGATCCTAAAATTGACGAGCTAGATTATTGCTAATATTTATGGTTGGTCTGTAAAAAAATGTGGCCATAATTACTCTAGCTAGACATTAAATCCTGAACTGGGTGCATAATGACTCCTTTTATGAGAAAGTTGTGACACACACCAACTACGTCCAACACTGGACTCGACTGTTCGCAGCTCAAATCCTCTGAGCGCTTAACTTTTTTTTCTTTACAGAACAGGATACAAGATAAATAAGGCTTCTGGACCGGACCTTAGCATT